CCTCCCCCTTACTGGATAAGACCCTACAAGGTTTCCACAAAGCTTGTCAAGGCATAGTTACGAGTTTTGATACGCCTTCGAGCCATTCTCCCCGTAAAACATTAAACCGCCACCAAAGCAATATTGTACAGTATTCGAAATGAGGCCCTACCGACCCTAAAAATTTCCATTCTGTAAAAAGAGCTATCGATTTTTCAATAAATGCGATCTTTAGTAACATGCGGCGTTGGTCAGTTTTCGTGCGACGGCCACTGCGTGCCGCTGAAATGGAAATGCGATGGTGAGACCGACTGCGCGGACGGTTCGGACGAGTTGTCGTTCTGTGGTCAGTTCCACCTTTTTTGCTGAAATCACTCATTTTTTCCTGTTTTTTCTTTTAGTTTTTAGTTTTTTTCCATTATCTAAAACATATTGCGATGGTGTGTGTCAGGAGATCCAGAATGCAGCGGCGCAGGATACTTTTAGCTATGTGACTCGACCTACTGTGCGGTTGGCGTCAAATGTTATCGGATAATACTGCTACATCAAATAGTGATTTTACGGCGCGATTTGAAAAATGTTTATAAATGGTTGATTGAATCCTTTGTTTGAAATTTCGGTAGGAGTTACTTACGATTTTCCAAGTGGTAAATTGAAGAGAAAAATGGAAGTTTCCGGAGACTCTTCATGTAGCGGTTTCCACCAGCCCTAGAATGTGGACGGATGCTGATTGAGCCAGATCTTACCTTCCAGCGGGAGTAACGCGCGCAGCGTTGTTTCAACAGTGTACCGAAATCGGATCTCCTGACCCACGTCCAATACTTCAGTGTTGTTACGCAGCGTAACTTCCCTCACTAGAGTGGTTGACATGAAATTGTAAGCATACAGTTCAACTCTAACGTTCATGGATTCAACGAGCTGAGCTGGAGACTTTTCGCCTCACTGCATTGCTGCGCCCGTAACACGGATCTCCTGACCCATACCTCACGTCACCGTACAAACGTCACTAATGGACGAGTTTCAGCGCGGTGTGGTTCGGACGAGTTCCGTTGTCAATCTGGACGTTGTCTGCCAAAGTCGTATTTGTGTGACGGCACCCCCGACTGTGGCATCAATGGCGTTGACGATAACTCGGACGAGGATCCATCAATATGTAAGTCGTACAATTTAGCTCTTCTGTGCGAGGTTTTTTATGAACTAGGTCTTTATTTAGGTCTTCACAAGACAACTTGTCCGCCAAATTTCTATTCCTGTCAGCATGAGGCACGTTGTATTCACCTGTCGCAGTTCTTGTAACGGTATCGCTGACTGCAATGATCACTTCTGATGAACATCATAAATGTGATGACTGTGAGTATTGATTTTTTCCCTTTTTTTTGAAATTTTCTGTTTTTTTTGAGTTGAGTTTTTGGTTTTTTTTTTTTTAGTGAGTATAACTTCGTTTCGAATTGGACAGTGCTAATAACTCGTTCCTGCTTTGGATATGTGTTTGGGCACCGGGCTTCTTGGTGTGGGCGGGAGTCTGCGTGAGTGTTAGTGGGGTGGTTGAGCTTCTCATCATGAGACGCATTTCTTTACTCCGCGTTTCAATCCAAATCGATCAATACATATCTAATATATACAGCAGCACATGTTTATCTAAAATTATTATAATCTCCTGATCTTCTAGTATTCTAGTCTCATGTGATCTTTTTACTCTCAAACGATTTCAATCGATTCGTATCTAATCTGTTAAGTGGAACATACTATGTCACGGTCGCCTAAAGTACCACTCTTCTAGTTTTCTTATCATTATCGCCTTCATTCTCCGAAGTTGTGGAGTATAAACGCGGCGTTACTCATTTATTATCTCTACCAGTTTGACTTTTCACGCGTCCGCGTGCATCACACGAGACAGCGTTGTGGCAACTCCGGTCCATACGCGGCGGGGTCACGCCACCTATAATATTGACTCCTACCGTATGCCGACTACCCCTTCTTCTGTCTCGTGGCCTTCTGAGGAACCGATTTATGAAGTATCGTTGCAAACTCCCGCCCACTTCGAGGCGCGTCCACCCACCTCTTGTATTGAAATAACCACGATTCTTTTTTTTTCAGGGAATGCTCATTTTAGCAGTGAAATTATGTATAGAATTCAGGGCACAATATCACATGTCACTATGGCGTCGGCCTCACTTTGGACGGGCCAATGTGTTATTGTCCGTCGGATCAGATTTCAGTTGGTGACCGATGTGAGCCAGAGGATAAGTGCTTACGACGTAGCAAAGGTGAGAACAGTTGTTAGCGGATCGGCTGTGCCGTTTTTCTTACAGTATTATGGTCTTTATGGGGAGTCTGACCTGGGTAAACCAACCCACCCATGGAAAGCTGGGAGTGCGCCGAGCAAATCCATGTCTTCGGTTAAGCTCAGAGGTGGGCGCATCCCATTGGCGCTCCGCCCATCAGGGTCAGGCAAAGTCGACGGTCATTTGACCGTGTCAGACAATGAGTCGCATATTATGATTTTGAGGTGGGGTGGTCATTGGCAAAATGGGGTCGTACATATTTCTGGAAGAATGAGAGGAACCTTTCCTAAAAAGATTTGATTTCTTCAGATTTTTTTCGTTACAGAACTTATGCTTGTAGTTTTTATATATACTTGTCGTCCCTCACCCTTTTTTTGGAATTTGGAGGAGGCATTGGAGGTGTTTCACGTTGTGCGGTTGATTCAAGGCACATCGGCACCATATAATAGTTGGGGTGAGGTGAGGAGGGGGGGGGGGGCGTCGTATACTAACGTCCGAAAGACGCCACCGTTGACGCTGTTGCTTGAAGGAGGGGATTT